GGCCAAAATCCTTTAAGGCTATAGACTTACAATTTTCGTCATTTCGGCCAAAAAATGGATTTTGTTCAAAATTTCAGTATAGGTACTCCTGAATGTGCTGCTTAGGATCTGTTACCAAAATTTGATATCTTGATTATAACTTGTTCAAATGGCTTTTTAGAAAATGTTCAAATGATTTTAGAATATTTTAATTACTTTTGCAATGCTAATTACTCGCCACTTATGGGTTTTCGAGGTCATTTCTTGGTGCTTGTGTATTATTCTGGATGTACTTAAATAGTTAGGCACATTAAATTTTAGTTCAGAGAAAACGTATTTTTGGCCAAAAATCCTTTAAGGCTATAGACTTACAATTTTCGTCATTTCGGCAAAATGGTTTTGTTCAAAATTTCAGTATAGGTACTCCTGAATGTGCTGTAAGGATCTGTTAACCAAAATTTGATATCTTGATTATAACTTGTTCAAATGGCTTTTAGAAAATGTTCAAATGATTTTTAGAATATTTTAATTACTTTGCAATGCTAATTACTCGCCACTTATGGGTTTTCGAGGTCATTTCTTGGTGCTTGTGTATTATTCTGGATGTACTTAAATAGTTAGGCACATTAAATTTTAGTTCAGAGAAAACGTATTTTGGCCAAAAATCCTTTAAGGCTATAGACTTACAATTTTCGTCATTTCGGCCAAAAATGGATTTTGTTCAAAATTTCAGTATAGGTACTCCTGAATGTGCTGCTTAAGGATCTGTTAACAAAATTTGATATCTTGATTATAACTTGTTCAAATGGCTTTTAGAAAATGTTCAAATGATTTTAGAATATTTTAATTACTTTTGCAATGCTAATTACTCGCCACTTATGGGTTTTCGAGGTCATTTCTTGGTGCTTGTGTATTATTCTGGATGTACTTAAATAGTTAGGCACATTAAATTTTTAGTTCAGAGAAAACGTATTTTTGGCCAAAAATCCTTTAAGGCTATAGACTTACAATTTTCGTCATTTCGGCCAAAAATGGATTTTGTTCAAAATTTCAGTATAGGTACTCCTGAATGTGCTGTAGGATCTGTTAACAAAATTTGATATCTTGATTATAACTTGTTCAAATGGCTTTTAGAAAATGTTCAAATGATTTTAGAATATTTTATTACTTTTGCAATGCTAATTACTCGCCACTTATGGGTTTTCGAGGTCATTTCTTGGTGCTTGTGTATTATTCTGGATGTACTTAAATAGTTAGGCACATTAAATTTTTAGTTCAGAGAAAACGTATTTTGGCCAAAATCCTTTAAGGCTATAGACTTACAATTTTCATCATTTCGGCCCAAAAATGGATTTTGTTCAAAATTTCAGTATAGGTACTCCTGAATGTGCTGCTTAAGGATCTGTTAACCAAAATTTGATATCTTGATTATAACTTGTTCAAATGGCTTTTAGAAAATGTTCAAATGATTTTAGAATATTTCAATTACTTTTGCAATGCTAATTACTCGCCACTTACGGGTTTTCGAGGTCATTTCTTGGTGCTTGTGTATTATTCTGGATGTACTTAAATAGTTAGGCACATTAAATTTTAGTTCAGAGAAAACGTATTTTTGGCCAAAAATCCTTTAAGGCTATAGACTTACAATTTTCGTCATTTCGGCCAAAAAATGGATTTTGTTCAAAATTTCAGTATAGGTACTCCTGAATGTGCTGCTTAAGGATCTGTTAACAAATTTGATATCTTGATTATAACTTGTTCAAATGGCTTTTGAAAATGTTCAAATGATTTTAGAATATTTTAATTACTTTTGCAATGCTAATTACTCGCCACTTATGGGTTTTCGAGTTCATTTCTTGTGCTTGTGTATTATTCTGGATGTACTTAAATAGTTAGGCACATTAAATTTTAGTTCAGAGAAAACGTATTTTGGCCAAAAATCCTTTAAGGCTATAGACTTACAATTTTCGTCATTTCGGCCCAAAAATGGATTTTTGTTCAAAATTTCAGTATAGGTACTCCTGAATGTGCTTAAGGATCTGTTAGCAAATTTGATATCTTGATTATAACTTGTTCAAATGGCTTTTAGAAAATGTTCAAATGATTTTAGAATATTTTAATTACTTTTGCAATGCTAATTACTCGCCACTTATGGGTTTTCGAGGTCATTTCTTGGTGCTTGTGTATTATTCTGGATGTACTTAAATAGTTAGGCACATTAAATTTTAGTTCAGAGAGAGAAAACGTATTTTTGGCCAAAAATCCTTTAAGGCTATAGACTTACAATTTTTCGTCATTTCGGCCAAAAATGGATTTTGTTCAAAATTTCAGTATAGGTACTCCCTGAATGTTGCTTAAGGATCTGTTAACCAAAATTTGATATCTTGATTATAACTTGTTCAAATGGCTTTTAGAAAATGTTCAAATGATTTTAGAATATTTTAATTACTTTTGCAATGCTAATTACTCGCCACTTACGGGTTTTCGAGGTCATTTCTTGGTGCTTGTGTATTATTCTGGATGTACTTAAATAGTTAAGGCACATTAAATTTTAGTTCGAGAAAACGTATTTTTGGCCAAAATCCTTTAAGGCTATAGACTTACAATTTTCGTCATTTCGGCCCAAAAAATGGATTTTGTTCAAAATTTCAGTATAGGTACTCCTGAATGTGCTGCAGGATCTGTTAGCAAATTTGATATCTTGATTATAACTTGTTCAAATGGCTTTTAGAAAATGTTCAAATGATTTTTAGAATATTTAATTACTTTTGCAATGCTAATTACTCGCCACTTATGGGTTTTCGAGGTCATTTCTTGTGCTTGTGTATTATTCTGGATGTACTTAAATAGTTAGGCACATTAAATTTTAGTTCAGAGAAAAACGTATTTTGGCAAAATCCTTTAAGGCTATAGACTTACAATTTTCGTCATTCGGCCAAAAATGGATTTTTGTTCAAAATTTCAGTATAGGTACTCCTGAATGTGCTGCTTAGGATCTGTTAACCAAAATTTGATATCTTGATTATAACTTGTTCAAATGGCTTTTAGAAAATGTTCAAATGATTTTTAGAATATTTTATTACTTTTGCAATGCTAATTACTCGCCACTTATGGGTTTCGAGGTCATTTCTTGGTGCTTGTGTATTATTCTGGATGTACTTAAATAGTTAGGCACATTAAATTTTAGTTCAGAGAGAAAACGTATTTTTGGCCAAAAATCCTTTAAGGCTATAGACTTACAATTTTCGTCATTTCGGCCAAAAAATGGATTTTGTTCAAAATTTCAGTATAGGTACTCCTGAATGTGCTGTAAGGATCTGTTAACCAAATTTGATATCTTGATTATAACTTGTTCAAATGGCTTTTAGAAAATGTTCAAATGATTTTTAGAATATTTTAATTACTTTTGCAATGCTAATTACTACGCCACTTATGGGTTTTCGAGGTCATTTCTTGGTGCTTGTGTATTATTCTGGATGTACCAAATAGTTAGGCACATTAAATTTTAGTTCAGAAAACGTATTTTGGCCAAAAAATCCTTTAAGGCTATAGACTTACAATTTTTCGTCATTTCGGCCAAAAATGGATTTTGTTCAAAATTTCAGTATAGGTACTCCTGAATGTGCTGCTTAAGGATCTGTTAACCAAAATTTGATATCTTGATTTAAC